GGCGCCCGCCCCGGTCATCGACGCCGTGACGCTGACGGACCCGACGGCGCCGCTGCTCTTCGATGTCGGCGACCGCAGCTATGCCCCGCCCAGCCTCATCAGCGGCCTGCACAACCCGGCCAACTACCGGCCGGCGCCGAAGCTGCCCGCCTGGCAGTTCGCGACCGTGGACCCGACCGGCGGCCAGCTGAGCTTCGAGCGCGAAACCGCACCCGACATCGGCTGGCACGGTCAGTCGCGGGCCGGCAAGGTGCGGGTGACCGGGGGCTCGTCCGGCCGCGCCGAACCGCGTGTACACCGTGTTCAACAAGGAGCAACTGCTCGCCGCGCTGCGCGAGGCGAAGAACCAGCCCAAGATCATCCGCATCGTCGGCCACATCGACTTCCGCTGGCGCGACAACAACACGGTGTTCGAGGAGTACACCGGCTTCCTGGACCAGAAGAACGGCGGCAGCTTCTCGATCCCGTCCAACACCACGCTGGTCGGCATCAACGACACCAACGGCCGCCCGGCGCGCATCACCGGCACGCAGATCCTCATCGGCATCGAGGCCGCGACGACGGCCGCCGGCGCCGAGGCCGATTTCAAGGCTTGGGTGGCCGACGGCAAGGACCCCGGAAGCTCTACCCGACCTGGACGCGCAACATCATCCTGCGCAACCTCGCAGATCGACACGCCCTGGGACGTGAACCCCGAGGACAGCGACAACGCCTACATGGATGGCCTGACCATCACGCGGGGCCAGCAGATCTGGATCGACCACGTGACGATCAGCGACGGCGACACGCCCGACTCGCTGGCCAGCGACACGCGTCACGACGGCGCGCTGGACGTGGTGCGCGGCAGCGACTACGTGACGATCTCCAACAGCGTCTTCAGCAAGCACCACAAGACCACGCTGATCGGCAACGGCGACTCCGGCCGCGCCTGGAGCGACGCCGGCCGCCTGCACGTGACGCTGACCGGCAACTGGTGGAACTACGCCTACAGCCGCCTGCCGCTGGTGCGCTTCGGGCCAGCTGCATCTGTACAACAACCTCGTCACCGGCAGCACGACGACGAGCGACAGCGACCTGAAGTTCGGCTCGGGCCTGGACGCGCGCTACCAGTCCGACGTCATCAACGAGAACAACTTCTACGAGTTCACCGGCCTCAAGCCCAAGGAGGTCTGCGGCAAGCTCGGCCGGCGGCAAGGACGCCGATCTCGATGCGCAGCAGCGGCCACCGCTTCATCAGCGACAAGGACGATGCTGGCAAGCCGATGACGGCGGTCATCGACATCGAGCTGCAGGGCTGCGAGGGCGTGCCGGTCAAGCAGAACTGGGTGCCGCCTTATGCCTACACGCTGCGCTCGGCGGATGCAGCGCGTGCGGCCGTGCAGTCCGGCGCCGGCGCCGGGCGGGTGGGGCCCGTTCGC